CAGGCTCCCTCTCAAGGGTGGAGAATGATAGAGCAGGAACCCTGACAGCCTCCTCTGGCCTCCACAGATTTGCATGTACACACACACACACACACACACACACACACACACACTGAAATGATATTGGGTAGTGTTTTAGATTGTATCAGGCAGGATGGGGGGGTGGATACTGTTGTTACAAACAGTCCCTCAATTTCATTGGCTAGCCATAAGGTACTTCTCTGTTCAGTGTGAGGAGGGCTAGGATCTCTTGTTTATTGCCACCACTTAGAGTTTAGGCTAAGAGGCACTCATGGTCACCATGACAGGGGGTGAGCACCTAGTGCATCCCCAACCCTAGCTCTTAAATCTACTGGTTAGAAGCAATGTGGCTCGCCATGTAGCCATATCTAACTGAAAGGAGCTGGAAAAGGAAGCAGGAAGAACCTAGACAATGTGTGAGTATCTCACCAGACCTCAAGGTGACCAGCAAGGCCTGTTTAAGCCTTATGATCAACATAAGGTTATGTTTAGTTTGTGATGACAAAGACCTCTGGGCTTGATCAGCTATTAGTCATGTTTCAGTCAGTCTTTGGACAGGTTTCTCAAACCATATGCAAATGAGTTTGACATGACAATACAGTCATTTATATAAGATTTCCATCAGAGAAAAATGAGAAAAGATAGACAAGGTCCTATCTGGTTAAACAGAAAGAGGCCAGTGCTGGGTGTAGTGGCACATGCCTGAGATCCCAGCACTCAGGAGGTGGATGCAGGAGAGTTGTAAGTTCAAGGTCAACCTGGTCTACATAGTTAGTTCCTAGTCAATCTAGGCTATGTTGCAAGACCTTGGAGACAGAGAAAAAGGGACAGGGAGAGGAGGAAGGAGGGAGGGAGGGAAGGAGGAAGGGTGAAGAGAGAGGAAGATAGAGAGAAATCAAAATGAGTCAGAACTTTTGGATATAAACAACAAAAGTCCAACTTGAATTAGTGTAGGGAAATAGGTAAATTACCACAAAGTAAGCAAATAATCCTTCAGAATCTAAAGAGGAAAGAGTGAGCCAGGGAACACAGGCAACAGTGTAGCAACCTGTGACAGTGTAGTAACCTGTGACAGTGTAGTAACCTGTGACAGTGTAGTAACTGGAGACAGTGTAGTAACCTGTGACAGTGTAGTAACCTGTGACAGTGTAGTAACGTGTTACAGTGTAGTAACCTGTGACAGTGTAATAACCTGTGACAGTGTAGTAACCTGTGTCAGTGTAGTAACCTGTGTCAGTGTAGTAACTGGAGACAGTGTAGTAACTGGAGACAGTATAGTAACCTGTGACAGTGTAGTAACCTGTGACAGTGTAGTAACTGGAGACAGTGTAGTAACCTGTGACAGTGTAGTAACCTGTGACAGTGTAGTAACCTGTGTCAGTGTAGTAACTGGAGACAGTGTAGTAACTGGAGACAGTGTAGTAACTGGAGACAGTGCAGCAACCTGTGACAGTGTAGTAACCTGTGACAGTGTAGCAACCTGTGACAGTGTAGTAACCTGTGACAGTGTAGTAACCTGTGACAGTGTAGTAACCTGTGACAGTGTAGTAACTGGAGACAGTGTAGTAACCTGTGACAGTGTAGTAACCTGTGACAGTGTAGTACCCTGGGACCCTACTTGGTTTGGGTTTTTCCTACACACACTGCTGTTGTAGCAATGCTCGGAGCAGCTGAATTCCCTGACCTGCACATAGTGTACGCACACACCCACCTCTAGACAACGCTCCTAGCAACCCCAGACCCCACCTGTGCACACACAGACACTAAATAAACACATTGTGTTTGAAAAGAAGAGGAGGTGGCTGCAGCCCCAAACAATGACGGGCCCGGTGACATAGCTGTGGACACATGGAAGTGGGAAAGGACAGAGGGCACTGGGGCTTCTCCCCTGAGCCCCTTCCCTGTGGGATGTGGAAGCCGCTGAGAAAAGCAACATCCAAGGCAGAGATTGAAAGACAAATGGGCCAGGAGGACATGTCAGATGGAGGGATCTGTAGGACTAAAAGCATACGAGTGATAACTCTTCTTTTGCTGTTGTTTGCTTGCTTTTTTGTTTTTGGTTTTGTTTTTCAAGGCAGGGTTTCTCTGTTTTTTGTTTTTTTTTCTTTTTGAAGCAGGGTTTCTCTGTGGCTTTGGAAGCTGTCCTGGAACTAAACTCTTGTAGACCAGGCTGGTCTCGAACTCACAGAGATCCACTTGCCTCTGCCTCCCCAGTGCTGGGATTAAAGGCAATACCACCAACGCCCAGACTCTGTATTGTTTTGGAGCCTGTCCTGGGACTAAGTTCTTGTAGACCAGACTGGTCTCGAACTCACAGAGATCTGCTTGCTTCTGCCTCCCGAGTGCTGGGATTAAAGGCATGTACCACCAATGCCTGACCTTGCCATCTTTTCTTAACTTAAATTATCCCAACTTCCTTTTGCCTCTGTGCTTTTATCTCACTCTTCTGTAAATCTTACTTTCACTCTTACTCTGACTGGCTGCGTGGCTGCGTGGCTGCGTGGCTGGCCCTGGAAGTCCTCCTCTCCTTGTTTGTTCTCTTGCTCCTTCCTCGGTTCTCCTTCTATTTATCCTCTCTGCCTGACAGCCCTGCCTATCTTTGCTCCTGTCTTGCTATTGGCCGTTCAGCTCTTTATTAGGACAGGACCATCAGGTGTTTTAGACAGGCACAGTAACACAGCTTCACAGAGTTAAACAAGTGCAGCATAAACAAAAGTCACACACCTTAAAATAATATTCCTCACCACCTGGGAAACCAGAGGTCCCCCACCTCCTGGCCTAGCTGGTGGGCCCACATCTCTGAGAAGGTGACAGTGATTCACTAGGGAGGCTTTGTGAGAAGGGAAACAGGTTTAAATACATCGACATGCCTTAAACAGGAGCAGCATACCTTAGGGATCCACACGGGTCTGATTCCAGCAATAGAGCATTCTCTAAATAATGAAAAGGTGAGACTCACATGCCATATGAATTTGAGTCGATCTCTGGGGAGGGAGGCTTGTGGGGTTGGTCGGGACAGTGAGAAGGAAGAGCTGGCGGCATACACAGCACGCAGGGGGTTGGATGTAGCTTGCTCGGTGGATCCACACACAAAGCCCTGGGTTTGGTCCCCAGTGGGGTGTGGAGGCACACACTTGTAATCCCCGCACTCAGGAGGTGGAGGCAGAAGACTCGGAAGTTGGTCATCCTCAGTTACATAAGAACTTTGAGGCCAGCCTGGGCTACACGAGATCCTGATTCAAAATAAAAGAGAACAAGTGAAAGACACCACGAGAATGGGCTGTGGGCACTCAGCACAGTGCCTGGCACAAGGGGAGTGTCTCAATAAGGGCACAATCATCATTATTAGAAGTTGTCATTAATTACCAGCAGGAAGAAACTAGGGCAAGACTGGAGGGTGGTGAGAGCATTTTGAGCAATACCAGGCGGCCGAAGGCGCCAAAGGAACCCCTTTTAGCATAACTTCCACTTGGCAAAGGGACCCATGGAAATGTGCTGCTGGCCCAGTGCTGAAGGGGACCAGGAGGGCCAAATGACATCAGCTCACGGGGACTGGAGATCAAACCAGAGACCTAGTACCACGTTCTCAACCTGCAGGAGCAAATGAGGCCTGGAAGAATGAAGAGCATCCCCTGACCCCAACTGAGGTCAGCTAGAAGCGCAATCCAAGCTGCAACCCTGTCCCCGAGCCACTTCCTCTGCCATGAGCCGGAGTCTCTGGGCACCCATCCCCTATAGTCTGGAAGGTGAATGGGGAACCAATTGGGCCAGCAACAATTCTGCAGGGCAGTGCAAGCGGAGGGTGACTCTCTAGAAACTGGCAACAAGGTACCTCCCTGCAGGGTGAGGTGTCCTGGCAGGGTGAGATCACACCCAACTCGGTGTGACTAAAGTCATTCACCGTGGGATAAGTAGGTTTCCCAGAGGGAGTGCCCTAGGAGACATTGGAGGCCTCATCTGTGTCTCACCCAATATTATTGATTCTCTGTTACATAATAAGCATGGTGTAAAGGCTTGTAGGTGAGTGCATGAAACTTTCCCAGCCTGCAGAGTAGGCACTGTTACCACGCCAGCACACACGGCAGAGGAGGCCAGCTGAGAGGGGGGGCAGCCCAGAACCCCACTCTATACCTATCTTAATTGTCTCTAAGTATTCTCATTATGATATAATTCGAGTTTAAAGAAAAATTACAAGCTTAATTTCCTTATGATTATCAATAAGAGTCCCCCAAATGTTAATATTTGAGCAGATTTTGTTGTATTACATTCCCTTCTATTTTTTGACAGGATTGCCATGACAAATGGTCGTGGCCTAGGTGGCCTCAGAGCTGGAACTCATTTTCTCACTGGACGTTGAGGACAAAGCTACAACAGGGTGGATTTCTCCAGAGGCCTCATCTCCCCAGATCTTGCTCTGTGTGAGCACCCCCCGGCTCTCCCTGTGTGTCAACACTCCCGCCTCTTCTAAGGACCAGAATCAGATGAAATTAGTCTACCCTAAAGACCTTACCTCGACTCACACTTCTTTAAACCTTGCTGATATTCTTATATTCAGAGGACACAACACCCACAGGGTGGCTCACTACCATCTGTAACTCCAGTTACAGGGAATCTGATGTCCTGCCTGGTGTCTAAGGGCCCTGCATACATGTGGTGCAGATAAACATATGCAAGCAAATATTCATGCACAATAAGATGAATATCTCAAAACATACGGTCTTACTTCCAAGTATAGGTATGATCTGAGGTGTGTGTTAGGTATCCTTCAATATCCACTTTTTTTTTTTTTTTTTGGTTTTTCGAGACAGGGTTTCTCTGTGGCTTTGGAGGCTGTCCTGGAACTCGCTTGGTAGTCCAGGCTGGTCTCGAACTCACAGAGATCCACCTGCCTCTGCCTCCCGAGTGCTGGGATTAAAGGCGTGCGCCACCAACTCCCGGCTCAATATCCACAATTTGATGACACAATTTCGCCCACAACATGATGTCTTAGGGTTTTTACTGCTGTGATAAACACCATGATCAAAAGCGACTCGGGGAAGGGAGGGTGTATCTCATTTTACAGTTTGTAGTTCATAATCCAGGGAAGTCAGTCAGCGCAGGAGCTTGGAGGCAGGAGCTGATGCAGAGGCCATGGAGAAGCACCACTTACTGGCTTGCTCCTTAGGGCCTGCTCAGCCTGATTTCTAGGACCACCAGCCCAGGGTTGACACTGCCCACAGTGAGATGCTTTCCACCCCACCACATCAGTAGAGAAAATGCACTACAGGCTCTCCACAGGGCAACTGGTGAAGACACTTTCTTATCCAGTTTCCCTCTTTCCAACTGACTCTAGCGTGTGTCAAGTTGACATAACTATGTAGCCCAGACTATTCACATATTTGTATCTCCATGCCTTCAGAGTATACCAAAGGCATGAGGTCCCTTTACCTAATACTTCATGAGTATTTACTAAAATCAAGAACACTTTCCTACAGCTCACAGAACTACCAGAACACGGAGGTTGGCAATGCTATTCTATGCGAGTATGCTATGACAATGCTATTCTGTGAGAATATGCTATGACAATGCTATCCTGTGAGAATATGCTATGACAATGTTATACTATGAGACTATGCTATGACAGTGCTATACTATGAGAATATGCTATAACAGTGCTATACTGTGAGAATATGCTATGACAATGCTATCCTGTAAGATATGCTATGACAATGTTATACTGTGAGAATATGGTATTGTCTGCTACGAGCTATCATGCTCTCAAATCCATCTGTTTGTCCCACTGCTGGTTTAGAAAGTTGGATCACTGGTGAAGGTTGGGTCTGCCAAGTTCCTCCATTGTAGAGTTAGTGTTTCCTTCCATCGCTAATAATTAACTATTTCAGGCCAGCGAGAAAGCTCAACAGATAAAAGTGCTTGCAGTGCAAGCCTGATGACCAAAGTTTGATCCCTGGATCCCACAGCAAAAAGAGAGAACTGACGTCTGAAAGTTGGCCTTCTAACCAGGGTGGTGCGTGCCTTTAATCCCTCTGTGGTTTGAAGCCAGCCTGGTCTACAGAGCAAGTTCCTGTCTAGAAAACAAAAAACAAAAAACAAAAAACAAAACAAAACAAGTTAGCCTTCTGACCTACACCCCCCCACCATACACACACAATAGCAATAACTAAAATAAAAACATAAAATAATAGTTAACACTTGTCTTGCAGAAAGTTACCTTGAAGCTGTGGGAATCTCTTTTTAAGGATTTTTTTTTTTTGGGTGTCCATGTGAGTACAGGTGCCAGCTGGAGGCAGAAGCCAGAGGTTTCAGATACCCCTGAGGCTGCAGTTACAAGCTGCACCACACCCAGCTGGTGTGGGTGATCGGAGCCTGGCTCAGGTCTTCTGCAAGAGCAGGCCTTAACTGGTGAGCAGTCTCCAGCCTGAAATACATTGTTTTTATTTTCAAACGTTATTCATCATCATCATCCTCTGTATGTGTGTGAGAAAGAGAGAGAGAGGGAGGGAGGGACAGAGGGAGGGACAGAGGGAGGGACAGAGGGAGGGGTGGAGGGAGGAAGGGAGGGAGAGAGGGGTCAGGTCAGAAGACAACTCTGTGAGGTCAGTACTCACATGGACTCTGTGGGACTAATCCGTCAGGCTTGTGTCCTTGGGTGGCAAGTGTCTTTATCTGCTGAGCCATCTTGCTGGCTCCAAACCATGAGAATATCTTGCCTCTTGTCAAACACAAATCCCTGATGATGATCATTGTTGCAGTGTGTTTTTACGATGTGGTGGCTTGATGGCTACTCTAATGCCATAGTTCTCTCCACTTGAGGGATTTCCCCACTTTTTTTCCCATTCATTTCTATCAAGGCAAACTCAACAATTCTTACTTAATAGGTTACGATCCATTATTGCTCTATTTAAACGCCCAAGTTGTCCCAGATTTAGCTAGTCAGAGCTGCCTCAAGCCTGAGAGCCGCCCCACTTTTTTTTTTTTTAGCTTACAGGAAGGCAATTTATTAACAGAAAGCAACCTGAGAAGTCCTGTCCACAGACAGTGACCACAGCGACCTTCCTTCCTTCGAGGGCTGTCAGAGGGGATGGAGGTCACATCCTCAATCGGCCTGATCCTTCATCCCAAGTGAGCGATTGACAGGTCCTGGGTCCAGGAGATGTAGTCTTGTTTCCTCCCGTGGTCCACAGTTAGGCAGACAGAATAGCGGTGCCCAGTCCCTGAAGCAGACATGACAGCATCTGGGGAGGACCTCCTCTTGGTCAGCTTTCACATCCCCACCCCTCCACCCCCACCCCCTCGGCCAGTCCCTCTCGGCAAAGGTTTCCTTACTAGACGATCAGTGGACACTGACAAAGGTCTCACTGAAAGATGCAATGGTGTGAGAGATACCAAGTAATTCTCTCCTCCAGCCACCTGAGCTGAGGTCCAAGACCTATTCCTTATCATTTGCCTTCGCCTTGCGGGTACCCTTTTTTTTTTTTTTTTTTTTGAGTCATCTTGGGTCTCTGACACTGGAAAGACAGTGTGAGAAGGCTAACGCCAACCCCACTTTTAAATGCAACATTGCACGACTACCAAAGAGATCGACCTCTATGGCATCAGGGTGTGGGTGATGAAGCCTTCCTTACTCCTCTGTGCTCTTAAGCTGGGGATGAGGCCAAAGGCTGTAGCCACATGGAGTTCCCACGTGACCTACGGGGCTACTGGATCCCTTCACTGCTATTTGCCAGGCATGGCCTCAGCTCTTTAAAAGGTAGGAAAGTGGGGGTGAACAGGAGAGACAGCTCACGATTGCGTACTTTCTAGAATTTGAGAACATTAGTTCAGAGGTCAAATTTTAAAAAATTCTTATTTATAGTTTTTATATATACCTTAAATTCGTTTGTTGTGTGTCTGTGTTCGAGTGCAGAGACAGCCTTCAGGAGCTGCTTGTCTCCTTCCGTGTGTAAATTGTGGGGATCAAACTCCAGTTGTCAGAGTTAGTGACAGGCACCTTTACCCACACGGTGGAGGCAGCAACCACTGGGGCGAGCGGAGGCACAGTTGAAGACCCGGAGTGGGGTATACAAACCGAGGGCCCATAGGTACAGAAATGGCATTGAAAACCAGGAGACGGGATGAGATCATCCAGGCAAAGGGTGTAGATCGAAGCCAGAGTCCAGACAGAGAACTGTAAAGTGAAGCGACATCTCCCCTGTCATGCTCGAGAGGTGTCACGTGAATGCCTCCAGAGAGGACGAAGTCTGGAGCGGGGAAGGCTACTGAGAACCCAGGAAGCTCTGGCCGGGGGCCCCCAGAGCGGGGCCTGCCTGGGGCGGGGCCTCACTTCGGCTGTGGGCATGGCCTTAGCTCTCGGCGGCAGCTCCGGGACCGGCCGGCGGCCGGGGCGATGACGTCAGTGCATGACTGGGTTTTTATGAATGAAAGGAATCCTGTGCGTGAGTAATTCCGGGAAGCTCGCCTTACAACTGCGCGCGGCTCCGGCCCCCTGCGCCGCCCGCCCCATAACAAAACTCCGAGCGGCGCTGCGCGGAGCCGGGTTCCCAGTGAACTGCGGTCCCAATCGGGGAGGAGTGGGGCTCGAGAGCGGCCTGGGACCGCCACCGCGACAGCTGCGGGGACAGCTGCGACTAAGCGCGCGCGGAGAGCCGGGCCCGGCGGAGAGCGGTGAGGACGCGTCAGGGACCGGGACCGCGCGAGGGGCGAGCGCTCCGGATCGTGCCTGGGCCGCGCTGTCGGCGCCCCGGAGCGTCTGCCCACCGAGGGGCCCCGGAGGGGCTGGCTGGGAGGCGGCGCGCGGGCCCCGCAGGAAGCCGGGGCGGGGGCGGGGGCGGGGGCGGAGGCGGGGCGTGCACGTACGTGACTCGGTGAGAACAGTCCCTGGAGCCTCGCCCAGCACCTTGTGTGCGCGGTTTGTTTACGTCTCCCGGCGGCGGGCGTGCGCGTGTGTTCTCCTGGGTCCTACGGGCTGAGTGCGCACGGGGTACCTCGGGGTGCGTGGGTTTGCCTTTGGCCGCACGCGCTCCCTGGAGACTGACACTAACCGGGTTGTACCTACGGGCTGAGTGCGCACCGGTGTCCACTGGCGCAAATGCGGAATAAGGACCCGAGTGAAGGAAGTGGCCCAGTCGATGGTTACACCAGGTCTGGAATTTTTTTTTTAACTCTCCCTCCTCTCCACCCTCCGCTGTCCTCCCCCTTCCCACCAGCCGGTACTGCCCGGCCCCAGTTGTCTCCGGAGTTTCCCCTGGCTGGAGCCATATGACATCAGTGTTTGTTCCTCGCCCAGCGCGAGGTAGAGCAGAAGTGAGCGAGCCAGTCTTCTCCTGGCTACCTGGTAACGAAGGGCGTGGAAGTCCTTCTTAGCCCCGGGTTTTCTGGCTCAGTATGGACTGTTCCTCTCTGGACTGTCCATTCCTCTAAGGAGAAATAGAGAAGGCCAGAGAGGCCTTGGCAAAGATTGGGGAAGGCAAGGCTCCCGGGCTACAGTGGCTAGTCCGGATGTCTGAGGCTGCACCTGCTGGGTCCTGAAGGATGGAGTGAGGTTGATAGTCACACTTCTGGAAGTTTCAGTTCTCTGATGGGACTCGTTAGACTGGACCCCAGGGCTAATGAAAGACTGGCCCATCTAGAGTCCACCCTGAACCAGCAAGATCAGCAGGCAGTATAATCCCTGGTCCTCCTTCGGGAAGGGTTAATGTGGAAGGGGAGCACTGTCAGAAAACACTTGGTTAGGCCAGCAACCATGGTCATGCTCGAACTTTCCCTCTGGCCCCGCTGCTTGAGCGTTCTGGAATCCAAGGAAGTGGCAGCTGAGCTTGTTATGGGGCAGAGTCAGTGATACTTTAACTTTGAGCCCAGTGAGTTCTGCTACCACTGAGGACTGCAATGTCCCGCCCCCGTCTGTGGCGGGATGGCAGGAGAGCGCCATAGGCTGCCGTGCACAGCCTGTTTATCAGGGGAACCAAGGCCTGAAGATGGAGGTGTGTGTAGAGTTGGGGGGCTGCAGCCAGGACCCCAGGATTTAGGTGGGTCCATCCTTGAAACTGTTCAAGAAACACTCCCGGTAGGGCTGGAGGGTCAGTGGTGAGGGAAAAGGGGCTAACTGGCTCACTGCCAGATGGGAACTTAGCATGGAAAGAGTCTGTTTTTCCTTGATCCCCAGGGGTCCACTAGAGCCCAGGACCCCTAGATAATGCACTTTTTTAAAATGAGTGTCTGGTGCCAGCAGAGGTCAGAAGAGGGTCTTGGGTCCCTCAGAATTGTAGTTATGGATGGTTGTGAGCCGTCATGTGGGCGCTGGGAACCTGTGTCCTCCTCCGCAAGGGTGACAAGTGCTCTTAAGCACTGAGCGGTCTGTCCTGTCCGGCTTATCGATCTTGTAAGGGAGGACCCACTTTGGGTCACAGTGTAAATGGGCATACCCTCACTGCAACAGGAAGGCCTGGTGAGGGCAGCTCACCCATGGCCGCGCTAGTGTGGGGCCGCTGGCTCCCATCTCACTGCGCTGGGAAGCTTAGCTGACCCTGAGCTCGCACAGAGGCTGGGCTAGATGCTTAGGGGTGCAGTGAACAGACAGATCCGGGGACTGCATCCTGGGAGACAGAGAAAAAGAGCCCAAAAGCTGAGTACAAATCAGCAGCTGAGATAGGGGCCACGAAGGAGAAGTTACTTCGGCCTCAGTAGTAACAGGGCTCCTACTTAGCCAGGGCAATCATGGAAGGTTTCCCTGTGGAGGAGGCTAGGGAGTAGAGTCTGATGGTGCGGTCATTCGGGACTCAGCACAGGGCTTGGCACACAGCAGGTGCTTCTTGGATATGTGGATAGTTGAGGAAATGGGCAGTGAGTCCAGGGAAGCAGATAGCAAGATTGTGAGCTGTAGGAGTCTTGAAGGAATGTCCCCCAAAATGAGCAGGTCCTGTAGGGCGCAGGTAGCTTCCTCCTTCACACACAGAGCCTGCGTTCCTTTTGGCCAGTAGTCATCAGGAAATCTAAACTGCTCATTTGTTGCTTATTAGCAAAAAGAATGCTGGGAGAGGAAGGGAACATGTTATCATGGAGGCTCCTCTGTGGACGGGGCAGCTGATAGCATGGACCCTGTGGTTTTGATTTTTTTCCAAAGATTCGTTTAAAGTTCATTTCTATTTACATAGGTGTGTGTGCCTTAGTGGGTTTATGTGTACCACATGTGTGCAGATGGCTGTGGAGGCCAGAGGGTGTCAGACCCCTGGAACTGCAGTTGCTGGTGGACATGATCCACTTGACTTGGTACTGAGGCCAGAACCCGGGTCCTCTGCAGGAGCAGCAGGTGCTCTTAGCCACAGCGCCATCTCTCTGGCACTATGTTTGTTTTGTGATACAGGGTCTTATGTAGCCTGAGCCGGCTTTGAACTTCTGGCCTTCTGATTTCTGCCTCTTGAGGTGTAGGTGACCACACCTGACTAGCACAAGGTCTCGAAACATGCCAAACATGGTCAAGTTTGTAGGTATGTGTCTCCAGTGACCCCTTTGACGCTATTGGAGGTGGAGGTAGAGGCAGAGGAGGGGGTAAGGCAGTGGTGAGGCCACTGTGGTCTTGGTTTGGCTGGAAGAGGAAGTGGCCCCTAGCTGTGCAGGTGGAGGAGAAGGGAGGTCAGTGCTCACAGCCTGGCTGCTTGTACTCTCATGCTTCTGCCTCCAGGAAGCCTTCCCTGGTTTCCTTTCCTTTCGTGCGGTGCCTCCACCCTGCGGGAGGCGTTGGGAGCTTTCCACTGGGCCAGAATCTGACAGACTAAAAGTCGGCCATTGTCATCGCTGGGTGGTTGGTGCCTTAGCATCAGGGGAGTCTGGGCCAGAGAAAGGGAGTGACAGCTTGAGGTCACACAGTGAGACTGTGGGTGGCAGAGCGGGGCTGGAACCCCAGGATGCGTCCCTGCACTGCTCAGTTCTCCCAGTCTTGCGCCCTCCAGCAGGGAGGAGGCGGCCCGTGCTCACTGCCAAGACCCAGGCAAACACATTTTTTCCCTCTGTCCTCACCAAGTAAGCAGTGTGGCTCAGCAGCCGGAGAGGAGCCCATGCCAGTGGGTGGGCCGTCTGCAGGATGTCTCGGGTGTACAGCTGAGGGGCCCGGGACAGGGACAGGAAGGCCATGGCCCCGGGCTGCTCAGCCATCATGACCCGAGAATGAGCTCACTCCTGGGTCTCCAAAGAATACTAGGAACCTCAGACCTGGAGTTGGCCCTACTGGCTTCCCCAGGAAGAAGAAAAGCCTGGAGGGTGGGGTCCCTGGATCGGGCAGACTGGTGGCAGTGGAGCCTCCTGGCCTTGTGTCCTGCAAGCTGGGGCCTGCGGCTAGAAGCCGAAAGTCAAAGGTGACGGAAAAACTTCCCCCTTCTCGTGCTGGGACATTCCCTCTGTGACTGTGACTGCTGAGCCGGGACATTCCTGGGCAAATGTGGGCCTCCATTGGAGTTTGAGGATGCCACGGAGGGACCTGAGGCTACAATGGGGGTTGGTGGGATGGGCAGGTGCCAGCCTTCCTTGGGTAGAGCAATCATGCTTTCATTCGTTCCTAGGGTAGAACATGGCTGCAGCCCCACCTCTTGGGGGCCTGGCTATGTTGAGGATTCTGAGGTCATGTGAAGGTTCAGTGGAAAACTGAGGGTTTTGTTTTCTGAAGCAGGGTTTCTCTGTGTAGCCCTGACTGTGCTGGAACTCACTCTGTAGACCAGGCTGGCATCAAACTCAGAGATCCGCCTGCCTCTGCCTCCCGAGTGCTGGGACTAAAGGCGTGTGCCACCTGAGGTTTTGGAAGCTTCGGGAGCTGCTGTCATCTTACTGGAAAGACTTGCCTGCTTAGAGTGGGCAGTGCCCAGCCCTCCAGGTCCAACCTTGACTTCGTCTAAGATGCAAGGAGACCAGAAAAGACACCTGACTCCTTAGGGTCAGGCTGTGCTGCCGAGGCTCTGGACCAGGCGCAGCACCCAGCACCAGGCAGGCCCTAGTTAACCTATGCAGGGAGAGGCCCCTTCTTCCACCAGGCCCCTTGACTAAGCAAGTGCCCCCAGCAGTCCTGCACACGGCTGGCTAGAAGGCCCGGCTGTTTGGGGTCATGTGTGTGTTCCATCCCTAGCTGACCTAAACCAGGTCCAGGCACACACCCTAGGTGAAGTGGCTTCCTCTCCCCAGATGAGGAAACAGGGCTCATAGAAGGAGCTGTACTGAGGGCATACTGTGAGGAAGTGTCTGGCTAGGTGTGGCTTCAGTCCTGGGCTCTGCCCTGTGTGGCTGTGACCCCTCTGTCACCTTCTTTGGGTATTATCTGACATTGTTATCAGGAAGACTATGAAGATGATGGGAGGGATTAAGAGTCAGTCCTGAGCCTGGCGGTGGTGGCACACACCTTTAATCCCAGCACTTGGGAGGCAGAGGCAGGTGGATCTCTGTGAGTTCGAGGCCAGCCTGGTCTACAGAGCAAGTTCCAGGACAGGCTCTAAAGCTGCAGAGAAAACCTGTCTCAAAAAATGAAGGGGAAAAAAACCTCTGAGAATTCTGCCTGGATTGCAGACAGGCTGCTGTGTGGCTTTTAGCAAGTGATGTGCCTCTCTGGGTCACTACTTCCTCTTGGGGTGGTCTCTAGGGCCTTTCCTACGTGCTGCTCTGTGGTGACCCTGGCTTGCTGTGCTGACTCAGAGCAAGCCCCCAGAGCTGACCGCAACCCTGACACCTGGTCAGGCTCAGCAGTTTTACTAAGATGCCAGACCACCTCTGCCCCGCAGTTTATACGACAAGCTTCAGCTAAAACTGTGGAAGAAACTGTTTCATTCTACAGATGGGAAGGTAGAGGCCAGAGTTGTGAAGCTCTCCCCAGGTCGCACAGCCTGGAGAAAACATGGACAGTACTCAAACTCCGGGCATGCTTCTCAGTCAGTGCCCCTTTCCCTGCTTCCCAAGACCTGGTCTGGGCCAAAGGTCACATGGGTGCGGTCCCTATGCTTGTTCCAATTCTCCTGGCACCGGTGGCATCTGCCTGGCAGATAGCGAGGAGAAAGATGTAGAGGCTAACTAACAGGTTTCGCTCACCGTGTTCCCCTAAGCTGGTCTTGGGACTTGGCTGGGACAGTTGCCAGCTGGGTGACCATGACAGAAGCTCCACTCGCCCACACCCCCACTGCCCGTTCCCTGCCCACGTTGGGCAGGGCTGACTCAGCTGTCTGGTATAGGGACAACAAGGAAATGGATGGTTACACCACCAAGGGCAAGAAGGGCTGGGGGACAGAGGGTACCAGGCAGTCCTATGGGCCAGGGAGGGCTTCCTACCCTAGGGACCGAGAGTGGGCAGGAACCTGGCACAGGAACCGAGAGTGTGGGGGGTGCAGGACGGGGGAAGGGCAGGAGTGGGAGAGAAAGTGAGAGATTCCTCCAGGCTGGAGGCAGAATGGAGGGAGGCATGCCCAGAGCACCGCGCGACGCCTGCACCCTTGTCTTCTGGCTAGTAGGGACCAATGGGACCCATGGGAGGTACCACCCCACCACCACCACCACCACCATAGTGTGTGGCTCAGGCAGGGTAGTATTTAACAAACGCCACTACAACCAGATGAGGTGGCCCGCAGCTGTAATCCCAGTACTCAGTGACTGAGGCAGGAGGACCAAAGGTTCTAGAGTCTCCTGCGAAGTCAGCACAGGAAGTCTAGAACTGCCCGAGTCTGGTCTGAGCCCCAGGTGCAGCCCCTAGCTACATCGTGAGGGGGCATGGTGGCTTTCTGTTTTGTAGAGACAGGGTCTTGCTTGAACTTGGTGTGTAGCCAAGGATGGACTGAAAATTATGACCTTCTTTCTTCAGCCTTCCCAGCCCTGGGATTAAAGGGTGTGTGTCACGCCTGACCTAGTGGTTCTTTATTAGTTTTAGTTTTGTTTTAGCCCAGGCTGGCTTTGAATCCATGATCTAACAGGATGCCCTGGACTTCTGACCCTCCTGTCTGTTTCCTGTTGCCGGGGTCCTGTGCACCTGCAGGCCCCCATAAGACCCTCCTAGCCTTGGTGCCACAGGAGCTGTGTCGGTCAACAGTGTCTTCAGTGGCCAACTTCCCTTTCCTGCCCCACTCCTTCCTGCTGTCTGAGCTGCTCCACCAGCCCCTAACCCAGTGGGAGTTCCTCAGAAGCCCCAGACTGCCCCCACCTCAGCCTGAGTCACAGCGAAGAATTCCACAGTTGCCACACGAGCACCTTCTCTGGCCGGCTAGACCTGTTCTAAGCCCAGGGGTAAACCACAGAGGACTGAACAGGGGTCCTGCTGTTGGAGAGGGGACTGCCTCACAGGACGGACACTGAGCAAGATGGTACACGTATGTGAGTGTGAAGACTCAGGGCCAGATGTGTGTGCGTGTGGGTGTGGAGGCCAAAGGTTGGCGCCCAGTGTCCTCTTTGATTACTTGTGGCTGTATACGAACTCAGAGCTCCCGGTTCAGTTAGCCTAGCTAGCCAGCTTGCCTCGGGGATCCCATCTTTACATGGGTTTGGGGAATCCAAACCCTGTGCCTCTCACTTGCCCGGAACTCACAGAGATCCTCCTGCCTCTGCCTCCCTAGTGCTGGGTTTAAAGGTGTGCACCACCAACTACCACCTGGTGCCCTTTTAAATTTTTAACATTTTGTTTCCTGTGCATGAGTATTTTGTCTGCATACATATCTGTGCACCATGTGTTCATTCCCCAATTCAAAAAGAAAGAGAGAGGGTTGGAGAGATGGCTCCATGGCGAAGAGCAGTTGTTTGACAGGATCTCATGTAACCCTGGCTGGCCTCAAGCTTGCTATGTGCAACAGTGGCCTTAAGTCCTTCTTGATCTGCCACTTCTCAAATGCTGGGCACAGTCGTGCGCCACACCAGCCTCCCCCACCAGCTTTTAAAGTTCACCTGTCTCCCCAGTGCCAGGTACAAGGCAAACTAGCTAACCAGGAACTGGCCGTTGGAGGAATGCGAGGCTTCCAGGCCTATGGGGAAGGCTCAGGGGACCACGGCTCACTTTCGGCTAGGGGATGGCTGATATTCCCTCTAGGGCCATGGAGTTAGTTCCCGGTGGGCAGAGTCCAGACAGTTTGGGAAACCTTCCCAAAACATGACCTTGGACAGATGCGGCTGGGGAGGACACTGGGGTGCTGTATCCTGTATCTACAGGATGGACTTTGGGCACTCAAGAGGCAGAGGCAAGACGATAGGGAGTTTGGGGCCAGCCTGGGTCATATGGTGGGACTGCGCTGTGCTTAAAGGATCTTAGATGGATACCCTAGAGCCCACAAGTGGACGGGGAAAACTGACTCCTGCAAATTACCCTCTGACCTCCACCCAGCTGTCATGGCTCTGGTGGACCCAACTAACACATACAACTGAAACAGACCAAAACAAGCATGCCCGGGCCCCGCGTGGGAGAATGGTCAGAGGGAGGAGTGGCCACTTCCTTAGTCCAACCATTTGTTGAGGACTTGGTGTGTGCAGGCACCCACCTTGGCGTGCTGAGGCCGTGGTGAGACTGGCACTTGGTGGAGGACAGGGAGGGAGGGACAGCCCAGCAGCTGGGATGGTGGGTGGTCAGAGAGGACCCCTCTGAAGAGGAAGATCTAGATAACCAGTCACTGCGGGGAGCTGGGTAGGCCCGAATTCTGAGATAGGAGCCTTGAATGCCAGGGTATGGAGATTGGATTTTATTCTAAGTAAGGCATAAACAAAACAACTAAGATGACTGTCAGCTTCTTTCTCTCCTAGGTCTCCAGCCCAAAGGGCACCTTCTGCAAAAATGTCTGTGGATCCCTTATCCAGCAAAGCCCTGAAGGTGAGGTACTAGCTCCTGAGGTCTCTGCTGCTGCTCCTGGTAGTGCAGCGGACCGGACCTCCCAATTCCCCTTTCCTTCCTGGACCAAGCAGCAAGGGGCTGAACCGCTTCCCCCACTGAAAGGGGCTTTCCAGGCTGGGTTTCTCAGCTGGGTCCAGGACTTGACGCTTGGTTAGTTTGAGCCCTGGGTGGCCTCCTATGTGCTGATGCTAGTTCCGGTCACCTTCAAGGTCTTGGCTCAAGTCCAGTAACCGCCAAAACGGGGAGGAGGGGCGCCCTAGGAAGTGGGACGGCATCCCCAGCACGGGCGGCATGCCTCTGTTTCCCCACGGCTCGCAGGTCAAGCGTGAGCTGAGCGAGAACACGCCGCACCTGTCGGATGAGGCGCTGATGGGGTTGTCGGTGCGCGAGCTGAACCGAAACCTGCGCGGTCTGTCGGCGGAGGAGGTGACACGGCTGAAGCAGCGGCGTCGCACACTCAAGAACCGCGGCTATGCGGCCAGCTGCCGTGTGAAGCGCGTGTGCCAGAAGGAGGAGCTGCAGAAGCAGAAGTCCGAGCTGGAGCGCGAGGTGGACAAGCTGGCGCGCGAGAACGCCGCCATGCGCCTGGAGCTCGACGCGCTGCGCGGCAAGTGCGAGGCGCTGCAGGGCTTCGCACGCTCGGTGGCTGCCTCCCGCGGGCCCACCGCACTGGTGGCGCCCGCCAGCGTCATTACCATCGTCAAGTCGGCGCCAGGCCCCTCCCCTGCTCCTGACCCCGCCCCCCTGCTCTTAGTACCCGCCCCTTTCCCCCCCCGGCACCGCCCCTCTGACCCGACTCCCTTACCAAAGTGCCTGAGCGCCTCCTGCTCCAAGTCCGTTTCTCTGCCACTGCTACCCAGTGTGGTGACTTCACATTCCTTTCCTGGGCTCTTTTTAACTCTTGCAGACCCCCAAACTGGGACCTGATGGCCCTGGGGAGGGGCAGCTTTGCTAAATTGAGGGGAGGGCGTTGGGGTCCTGGGTTTCCTTGGGCTGAAAGTCCATCTCGGATGGGAAGGAGGTGGTGTAGAGATGGTCCGGAGAAGAGTTGGCAAGAGAGGCTTTGGATTGCACCAGCATGCCCTTCCGTCCCTCCCAGGACTTAGGGCTGGGTGTGACCTTGTGGGGGTGCCTTGCTGGGAAGCAGAACTCGAGACCTCCCAACTCTGCTTGGGACCTGGGAATGTCAGGCTTTCCCAAGCTAAGAGTCTTTGGGCTGACCAGTGAAGCTCAGTTGACAGATGGGGAAGCTGTCAAGGCAACGTGACCCATGACCACACAGCAGCCTGACATGGGGCCTTCTCACTGCTAACATTCCAGCCATGGATTGACTGCAGAGGGGAATGGAGTTGTAGGAGGGCCTCTCCGGCCTGGGAGACCTTTGTCTATGTGGTGGGGGAAGAGAAGCTGAGGGAGAGAGGAGGTGACACAAAGGGACTCGGTGAGGAGCCGGCCAGCCAGAGGAGGGGCATTGGAGATGACCTCTGTGGTAGGTGGAGACAGACACTGGTCCTGGCGCGGGGAGTGGAGGAAAGGGGCCTTGGAATCAAGGCTTCCTTTGGTCCTGAGTATCTGTGGTGGTTGTGGGGGTTGACTATCGGTCCCCTGGGAAGTCTGGCCAGCACCTCCCTGATACTGTATACAGCTGAACCCTCCCACTCTTATTTATTGCACGAATCTAAGTTATTCTAACCAGCCAGAGCCCAGCTTCTCTTCCCTGGGAAATATGTGGGCCCTGGGCTGGACTTTATATTTTATATCTACAAATAAATCACATTTAATCTTATATTTAGGGAAAGCTGGATGGCGAAAACAGCAAGGTTTTTAAAAAAAAAAAAACTACCCAGCTCCCAGAGTTATTTATTTTCTGACTTAAAGTGAGCCAGTTATCTGCCTTGAGTATTTTGTAGACTTACTGAATAAAGTCGAGTTCTTTTCCACAGATAAGTGTGTGTCCTGGAGTGTTGTGTGTGTGCTCTGACTGAGTGGCCTGAGACCACTTTTGGGTCATGGGAGGCTAAATCCCATTGCTGACTTTTGCAAGCAGGTGTGGGTGGAGACCGGGCAAGGAAAAGCTGTGCTCAGGTCTGCACAGCCCAGGCAGAGAGAAGTCCTGCATTTTCAAACTGTCTACCTCTTTTCACATAGGTCTGATTTTTCTTCAGCCTAGTGGGAGCTACTTCCCAGTGTACCTGAAGGCCCAGGAAAGTGGACTGCTGAGTTCTAGCCAGCAGTCCTCAACCTTAATCTTAGGTCTTAGGGAGAAGGGAAGGGTACCCACGCATTTGCCCTGCCCTGCCTGGTAAGGAGTGGAATACTCTGGTCTTCAGCCAGGGGAACTGGGATTGGGCCCAAATGGTCTTTTTCTGGGTGGTTTCTTGCTGCTCCAGTTTCCTTTGAAATGATGGTGCTATAGAGGCATAGCCTAGGAAAGCCAGAAAGGCTTCAAGCCCTAAATGCATAACAAGTGACAGTCCTTGTATGTGGCTGCTCAGGGAGGGAGAGGGACCAAGCCAAGGGGCAAAGTTGGAGTGTAGGGAAAGGCCAGATCATGTGGCTGGACCCACAGAACTGTCTCCCCCTCAAACTGGGGCTGTGCCAAGCCAAGACTCCTTCCTGAGAGGCCTTCCTCAGGCCTGGCAGCAGGAGGGGTGATGGGTAGAAGTGGGGGTACACAGATCATGTAGACGGTTTACCTTAGGGTTACAGGCTGCCTGGGAAGTTCCCCTGCCCACACTCATTCCAGCCATGCCTGTCACCCATGGGACAGACCTAAGAAAGGCCTGGTGCCTGCAGGGAAGGTATCCATGGCCTGGTACCTTTGCCCTATGCCTCCTGGTTCCTAAGGGTGGAGAGTGGACTCAGAGAGGCCAAGGCAGGTCTCTGATCTTCTGGGAGATAGCTTAAAAAACGGGATGAGGCCTAGCCCTCATGGGGGTGGGGGAGAGGGTGAACACTTCGTGGTTGTCTCTGAGGAAAGGACAAGCGTCCAGTGGGGATGTGGATTTAGTCCCAGACAATGTAAGCACCCCTCTCCGTGACCTGCATATACACCGCACACAGGAAGAGGGCGAATGCCTCTCTCTGCCCACGGCCACACTTCTAGACAAAAAGGGGGCAAGAAAAAACCTCACTGGCAGGCAGAAGAGATTTTGATACAATCTATATTATCTCATATATATATTTCTTCCTGACTTTATTTGCTTGCTTCTGTCACTCATTTAAAATATCACAGAGACCAAAATAGAGCGGCTTTCTGGTGGAACGCATGGCAGTCACATGACAAGATACAAAACTAGGGGGCTCTGTCTTCTCATACATCATACAATTAATTTTCAAGTATTTTCTTTTATGTACAAAGAGCTACTCTATCTGGAAAAAATAAAAAATAAACGAGACAAGATAGGTTATGCATCCTAGAAAGAAAGAATGGTACAGGTTCCTGTCCCGTGTTCCCAAGGACCACTAGCTTCCTGCCACTGAGTTCCCCCCAACCTCACCCACCATGCCAGCAGGCAAGTGCCAGGGTGGGTAGGGACCAGTGGGGACAGGAACCAGCAACATACTTTGGCCTGGAAGGAAGGGGAAGGTCTGAGAAACAGACTGGTAGAAGCAACCCTGGGGGGAACCGTGGCCACTCCCAAGAGCTCCCACATGCCAGCTGCCTTCCTGGGCAAGCCTGGAACCAGCTGGCCAGGCCTACTGGGCGGAGCTGAGAGCTGCCCTCTGGTACCTTATGTGCTCAGGAAGGAGGCTAAGAAGGTTGTTAGGAGACGACAGCCCCGTGAGGGCCCTTCCCATAGACCCTAGAGAAGGAGCCTGTTTGTTCCAGAGGTGACCAGAGGGAGAGCTTCCAGGGAAGACCACAGCAGGGCTCTTCTATACCACTCTGTCCACCTCAAGAGGCTACTGAAGCCACACCCAAGTGCTGCGTGGATCCTACTCGCCGGGTCCTCTGCCACCCTACCTTGGAGGCTCCAGCCCTGGAGGCTGCTCTGGATGTGAGAAGAGAGGGAGTCAGGAGAGAGAACAGGTGGTCCCAGACGAGGGCACCTGACCCCATGCCCGACTACCCGCAGTCCTGAGTGCCTGCAGCTCAACAAGGAAGTGCCTGGGACAGACTGGGGACTGGGGGGGGGCTTTCATATGTGACTAAGGCACAGAAGAGATGGGCCGGGGGCCAGAGGGAGCAGAACACCAGGTCCTACATGGCCAGGGGACCCAGGAGGGTCTGAGACCACCCCTACCTTACGCCTGCTGCATAACCATCCCCCCAGCCTCCTCTGGAAGCGGGCTGAGATGTGGACACTCAGACTTCCCAGGACCCAGCAGGAGTATGACTGCTCCATTGAGGAGGTGCTGGGAAGCCCAAGCCCTGGCACAGTCAGGAAATATAGGGGGGCTCTGCCCCAAACTATCCAGAACTGGACCCAAATGAGAGAGCAGTGTAGGCTGCTGGCTGTCCTCAGCAGACCAGAAGAGCCAAGAGGCAGGCCAAGTGGCCACGGTGAGAACACCCAAGGGCACATAGGCACGGAGGCATCCTTCCTAGGTGAGCCCTGAGGCTCCGGGGTCTGGCTCTGATCCTTGCAGCATGCTAGGCAGGCCTAGGTTGGCAAAAGGGGAGGGTCCACGGAGCAGTCACATCTCCCCCTTCTGGGAATGAGACAAATCTCACACTGGACAGAAATGAACAGGGAAGGGCAGCAGGTGGGAAGATCAGATCAGGTCTGGGTATTGCACGGTGTGGGGTGGGCTGGGCCTGACAGCCTGGGCAGATGCCTTGTTGGGGAGGGGGCTCAGGATGCAGCTTCTGGCCAACACACAAGCATTTGGGCCCAGGCATGGCTGGTTCCAGATGTGTCTCCAGTACAGGATGGGCAGCAGAGGTGTGGCAGCTACAGCCAGTGTCCTTTGCTCCGGCCCTGGATAGTGAAGGGTTGGCCATGTAGACACATTCCTGAGGCTTGTTCCTCTGGAAGTGATATGTGAGTGTTTCTGGTTCAATAAATAAAAGGGCAACAGCAACACTGCGCTGACTGCTCCCAGCCTGGCTGGAGGCTGGAGGAGGCGCCTCTCCTTCCCCACCGGTGCCCACACTCAGAACTCATCATCAGAGCTGAGCAACAGAGTCTTCTCATTGTCACGGGCACCGCTAAGGCTGTGGGACCGGGAAAGGCTGTGGGTGCCACCGCGCCAGGTGGGCCCAGGCTCCAAAGTAGACTGCTGCGTATACTGCTGGTAGGCAGGGGAGAAGTTATGGATGGCGTCCTGCACGATGTCGTGTGGGTTCATTGTCTCCTTGAGGCTGCTGGAGATGCTCTTCATGGGGGCACAGCGGCCTGCAGGGAGGAGCCAGGTGGGGCGAGGGCCAGAGTGGGGAGAAGCCTGATCAGTCCCTGCCCCATCCCCAATGTTCTCCTTCATTGCCCCCTCCCGAGACATGAAAGGGGACAGGACAACAGTGCTGCTGCTGACTGGAGTGACCACGGGGAGCTGGGAAGGACGTGTAGACAGAGGGCAGAGGCAAACCACTCTGGGAGAGATGCTCACAGGAGAGAGAGACTGGGCAGAACGGGGAAGGCTGCAGGCAGTCACCTCAACACCCTAGGCCCCAGGGCCAGACTTATGGCCTCCACCTGTGAGGGCTGCTGGACCAGGGAGCAGAGGCCCCAGGAGCAGGCCGGCCTGTGGGCTCTCCCTCTAAGAGGGCCAGAACTGGCTGCTTTGCATGCTTCCAACTCTTCCTTTGAAGATGTGCCCTACAGGGTCAGGCAGGGGAGGAAGCACGCGCAGTGCAGGTCACCAAGCCAAGCTGGAGGGATGAGCTCAACCCTGGCCCAGGACTTGGGACTCAGCCTCCCACCCTGTGGGTGCCCTGTCTCAGAAACACTGCTAAATACCCTTGCCACCCCTTTAGTGGGCACTGTGCCCCAGAACCTAGCAGGGTGTATTTCAAAGCTCAAGAATGGAATGAAGGCAGCCAAACTCTCCAAAGGGCAGCCCTCTTAGGCAGGGGTGCTAGCCGGGAGGAGATAGGTACACAGAGGAGCTACAGAAAGGCATGCCAGTGACAGGACCAGACTGACGTGCAGGACGGACGTGCAGACAGAGCCGAGAGCAGACCTACCGTATGGGCCGTATGTCAGCACTGCCCGAGGCCAAACCCAGGGCAAATGTGGGGTAAAGGGACAAGGAGAGAAGCCGGAGGGGTAGAGAAGACAAGAGACAGCTGAGTGTAAATTGCCTGCCCACTCCAGGCCCAGTGACGCCCCCACTATCCCCGCCAGTCAGGCTGCTCTGGCTGCACCTGATGGACCGTGCTCAGGCTAATGGGTCATCCCAGTGGCAGTGACGTTCCACCCCAAGAGTCAGGGCCTCTTCCCCACTTCTCCCAGGGTTTGCTGGAGCTATGTCTGCATGGAGCCCTATGCCTCGCAATGCTCACTCCTCTGCACAGATCTGGAAATCAAGGTTCAGAGGATGATTGTAGAGCAGAGCTGGTTTTTCACCCCAACCTAACGTGAAGCTGGGAGGGACTGGGTGCCATGGTTATGGTTAAGAGGATGGACTACCGCCCACACCAACAGCAGTTTGTCCAGGGCGGGTTGTTTCCTCTGGGGGGTGCCTCTAATGGGGGTGCTGTCTGAGGGTAGTATGTGGAAAGACAGCCAGGCAGTAAGGCGTTCCTGGAGATAGCCCAGCTTGCTCCTGTAAGTGGCCTGCCTGGCTCCTGTCCAGGGCCTGTTAAACCAGGGTTAAGGGACCCAGACCTTTCCCACTGGGGCCCAGCAGGAAGCAGGAAGCCAGCAAGTAGCTCAGGGCAGAACAGGAATGCCATCAAAGACCAGAGTGGCAACCGGAGCACCGCAGTGTGGCAGAGAGCACAGTCCAGCAGCGGCATTTCAAAGTTTCTTCCCAACCAGGGAAGGGGCAATAGAGGGACTGGGCAGGGAGTCCTGTGCCTGTGGATCCCTAAGACTCCCAAGCCAAGCACAGGGACCTGTGGGGGGCACTGAAGCCTGGGGAAGGAGGCTGTCTGGCCTCCAGACATGGGTAAAGCTGACAGCAACTAGGTGACAGATGCCTTGAACAGGAGGCCTCCCTCTCCAGTCCCCACAGCCCCTCGCTGTGGACGCCAGCCTTGGGCATTCTCTCAGAACAGGCCTTCGGGCCCCCGCTGGCCTGATGCTTTCCCGGACAGCTGCACTTCCAGTCACCAGAAAGCTTCTCAAGGCTATGCATCCTACAATCACAGACGTGCCCAGGGGCTGCAGAACACTCATCAGCAACAAGGGTTAGTGGTATAAAGAGCAAGCTGTGGAAACTGCCTCTGACCCTGCTTCTCACAGGGAAGCAGCTTTCTGACTCTTGTTCCTTGGAGAATCTCAGCAGACAGAATAGGACAGAGCAGACTCCACACAGTGGTATCTGTTCACTAGTCTCTGTCCCAACTTCCTTTTTTGTTCTTTTTCTTAAACTCATGGTAACCCTCCTGCCTCAGCCTCTTGAATGCAGGGATTATAGTATACACCTTCTCTATACCATCTGTGGGTCTCCACACTAGGACCTAAAGGGTAAGCTTAGCTTCCAGAAACAAACTGGGGATCCCTCTGGGCTCTGACAGTCCCTATGCTCTGACCTCTTTACGCCCCTTTCAGAACAGACAGGGTCAACCCTTACAAGATGTTGGGTGGTAGGAAGGCCTGGAGCTGACCTCATGAGGCTGGGTCCTGCCCTAGGAACCTGGCTCATACCTTGAGCGTCCAGGCTCTTGTCAGCGTAGACCTTGTAGGTGAAGGCGTGCCGCAGGGCCAAGGCTGCAAAGAACATCTCGATACAGATGATGAAGTCCTGGTAGCCAGCAGCAACGGTGCCCTCACCCACTGACACGCGGGCTGAGTTGATCTTGGGGATGGCCCCACATTTCTCTAAGATGGCCAGTAGCATGCCTGCACAGGGAGAAGCACTGTCTGGTCACACACTGGACCCCTTCCCATGCCCTTCACGCAGCCCCGCACACCACAGGTTACAGGAAGGCTCATTTGCTCCTGGAGGCAAGGATGAAGACAGACCCAAGGCCTCTGCAAACCTGCAAACCCAATACTCTTAGCTACCTGCCAGTCAGGAAACTGGGACATCACTAAGTGTCCAAGGCTGCACTCAAGTTTCCTGCAAGCCTCGCCCCTCCTAAGTGTCCAGTGGCCACGGTATCTCTGAGATTGAGGGCAGGACGTAAAGGGGTTGTGAGAGCATGGGCGAGTGTGGGAAACAAGTGGAAACGGGGTATGGTCACCAGGCTGAGAGGAGGCTCACCTTGCCAGAAGGAGAGAAAGATGACGGACTTGACCATGAAGAACTTGAGGACAGGGCTGTAGGGACTGAGCAGCTCCCGTGTGGCGAAGTAGAAGAGGAAGAGGGCGTAAAGGGCCAGGCTGACTGAGACGTTGTAGATGATTGTCACATAGAGGTACCCACTGGTGGCACTGTGGGACAGGCATGCTGTGGCTAGGACCCATCCTGACAGGGCAGACTGCTCCCTCCTCTGCCCTGCCCACAACTTGTTCCCACGGGCCACCGCTGTGCTCTCCAACAAGGCACAATGGACTACTGGGAGGAGGGACAGGGAAGGGAGGACACACTGGGAATGTGCTACAAGGTGTGCCTGTGGGCAGGCTGGCCTCCATGACCACTTCATTCACTCACACGGTGGCCCTGCTCCAAACCTATTCCTGATGGCGGGCACTACAGGGAAGTCTAGGCTATCCTGGAGGCCAACAGTCACAGCGGTTCCCTTCCGCTGGCTCTGCTCTCTCTTCCTGACCTCGGTGTGCTCATCTGCCTAGGTGGGCTGTGGTACAGGTTACAGGCAGAAACAAGAACTCACAACCCAGGCCCAGGTGTAAGGCAGCCTTCACTAACCCACAAATGAAAAGGTGTGGCTGCTTTAAATAGTGGGGTCTTTACATCTGGGGCTCCTGCACTTTCAAAATGTCTTAGAGTAGCCCCCACCTTCTGAGACTTACCCATGGTTGCTACCACACACCCCAAGAATAACTTGGGCATGACCGGCTAAAAGCTGGCCTCAGGACCAAGTATGAGAAGGTCACGGCTGGGCTCAGGCAGAGATTCAGGGAGGTCTGAGCCCCATGCAACTTAGAAAGACCACAGGTATGGCCTCTGTCAAGGTAGGGCACCCACCCTTGTGCCAATACACCCATAGGTCCCGGGGAGGATGCCTGCTTACTCAAAGTCCCCGTCTCGGTACTTGCCGAAGGCCTGGAGAATAACGGTGCTGACAGCCATGAGCGGCTTCACCACACAGAACTGTAGGGTGGCCTGTTTGGGAGACAGACAAGACAGGGTAAAGTAGGATGTGGGAAAGCAGCGGCTCTGGCAGCTGGGCTATGCTGGTCCCTAGGAAGGAGGGACAGGGAACTGTGTGCAGGAGGAGGCAGGGCGTGTGAGGAGACACCATGCTGCTGGGGACTCAGGACTGGGAATATCAGGCCCAGAGACCAGGGGTAGAAGACGCCCCAGAGACAGCTCAGAAGGTAAGGGGCCTTCAGGAAGATGTGGAGGCAGAGGGAGCAGCTGCAGGCCAGTGGAATGGCTCGGGCAGGTAAAGGTACTTGTTTGCCAAGCCTGCTACCTAGGTTTGATCCTTAGGACACACTGTGGAAGGAAAGAACTTCCTACAAGCCACGTCCACACACGCACCCACACAAATACATGCATGCATGCACACATACATACATACACGCACGCATACATACACACACACATACATACATGCATATATACACGCACAGGAGCAGTTCAAGCAGAGGCTCACCAGGGCAGTATGTGGACAAGGACAGGGAGTGGGCACTGGAGAGAGCAGCAGGGAGGCCCTGGGCAAGTGAGCTCTAACGAGGAGTTGGCCACACAGGGAGTGGGTGAGGACACGCGCCTCTGCTTCCTTGACTCACGTTCTGGCCTGAGCCAGGGTTTCTATGGAGCTGGGGTCTGAGTAGGCTGGAGCTAGCCTTCAAGAGGAGTAAGTGGGGAGAGGACACCCTCTAATGCATGGGAGCCCTGGAAGGCATGTGGGAGTTCAGGCCTGGTCGGCTAGTCACTGCAGTCTTTCAGGCAGGTACCTGGTCTCCAACGGTCACCATCTGGGTAAATGTTAGCCTAACCCATGCCCACAGCACAGGGTGTCCAGGGAGAGCTGGACAGCAGTGTCTGTTGAGGCTGCCTATTCTATGTGCAGTCAGGATTTTCAGACTTGCTCAGACCTGGGAGAGTGTGCTAAGCCAGGCTCGACAGTCCCCGTAATCCGGTGGGGTGTCCATGCCACCCACAGACTGCCATTGACCCAAGAGTGTTCACCCTCATCCAGAAGCCCCGTGTAAAGGGGTGGGTGCTCCAGCTCCAGCCATGTGGCTTGGCCAGCGTGGCTCTGGATAGGACCAGGGGCTGGAGAAGAAGAGCAGCCTGGGAACCCATCTTTGCCCACTGCGGGCCTGGCCTGTGCTGTGGGAAAGCCCTGCAGAGCAGCGTGAGACAGAAGAGCTGCTACCAGAAAACCCCACACAATTCCTGGCTGCAAACCTCCACCCAGAAGGAGTTGAGGGAGGGAAAGAGCAGGGGTTCACACCCCAGTCTCAGACAAGAAAACAGGCATAGAGCTGAATGCAAGACGTAGCACTGGAGCGCCAGCAGGCCGCAGATGCACCATGGGTCAACCACAGACCAGGTCAGAGGTCAAAGTCACATGTCAGTTCCAGGAGTGGGCAGTCCTTCCTAGACCTCTGCTGGGCTCGCCTCATGGTCACTGATCCAGAAGGCTCTATTCCCCGCCCACCCTTCTTCCTTGCCATTGGCAGAATCAGGGGACAAAGCCCAGGGCCTCACACATGAGGCAAGTGCTTCCCCACCACTTTGCAGCCCCAGCCCAGGAATTCCCACTTTTAACAAGTGTTCCAAGACTCAGACACTGGGCTCTGGGCCCGAGGACATCCTGGCCCACCCGGTGGCTCTGGAACAAAGACTCTGAGCGCTGGGGTGCCTGCTGGGAGCCTTCATGCGCTATTCTCCTCTCACTGCCAGTCTGCACGTCAAGGTTCAACAGCCAGCCTCGAGCCCATAGGGCAGGGAATGATCTGCACCGGTAACAGTGACGGTGCTCTGTGCTCTGCTCTTGAGAGCAAAACAACCGAATGAACAAAAGCGGCTATGAGTCAGAGCTAGCTCTGGACTGGGTGGCTGAACCATGTAAACAAAGGCTCTGCAGGCCCCACCCTGGACGAGGACAGTTTTAACCCTTTCCAGGACACTCCGTGAGAGAGATCCTGACGCCCTCAGGAGGCAGGACCAGTAGCAGAGTTGGGGCCTGGGCATGTCTGCTGACATGTTGCTGTGTGGGCAGTCATGTTGTGGGCCCTGAGCCCTTCATAGAGGCTGGAAACAGAGTGGCAATAGGGTAGGCTGTAGTTTGTGGGGGCAGGGGGTAGCATTTCCCTCTTGATTACTTGGTCCAGCTGGAGGGACTGACAGAGGGCCTGCAGAGGCCAAGGACAGTCATGATGACTGGGTGTGGCATCCTCGGAGTCTACGTCCCGGAATGAGCCAGAGCGGTACTAAAGGCTCACATCCACTGTCTCATCTGTTCCTTTTAGTAACCCTTGAGATAAGCATTGCCACCCCTATTTTATAAAAGGACAAACAAGCTCACAAAGGTTAAGCAAATGATCTGAGGTCACACAGTCAGAGAAGCTACAAGTCCATCTCCAGCCAGGAAGTGGAGGCCACGGAGACCAGAAGCTGCGGCACTGCCAACCGGCGTGCGGGAGAGGGCAGGGGCCACACAGCCCTGTCTGCTATGTATCTTTCATGCCAATCCCTTTTGCCCAACACAGGGATGAGTTTTCAAACTGGCAGACTAGAGCTCCAGTGTGCTTCCTGGTCAGCAAGATTTAGTCCAAAGGAGCCAGACTCCAGACAGCTTCTCTGGCCCAAGGCTGTCAGGTGCTCCAGGCTGCTCAATGCCCACCTCTGCAGATGCCGCTAACTCAGTGCCTCCAGATCAGATTGGGGACAGCTGGGGACCAGGGGACCTCCACAGGTAAGGCACAGGTCAGCATGCAGCAGGAACTGCCCTCAGAGACACAGGTCCCTAGCTGAGTCCTCCTGACCTGGGGCTGCTGCTGGGCATGTACCTGTTTACAGAACCGCAGGAATCCGATGGAGTAGGTCTTCCCCCAGAGGCAGCACGTGCCATACATACAGCTCGACCTAGGAGAGACAAGTAGACGGGGCTGGGAGGTGGGAAGGGCGGGATGGGAAAGGCTGCCCTCCACATCAAACAAGCCAGGGCATGGACAGGGATGGGAATACACACAAAACAGCCCTGAATGAGAAAGAAAAACCGCAGGAGGGAAAGGGCGAGAGGAGCTGAGAGTAAGGAGCAGCACAGTGAGGACACGGGTGAAGTCTGTGCGTCCATCTGCAAGCTGTGGGGTGCCCACGTGGGGTACAAAGCTGTCATACTCACTCGATGGCTTTCCCTCTGATCTCAGACATGATGGCACTCTCGCCCCCGAGGTACTCATAGCACAGACTCAGGAAGTTGTAGATGACAAAGGCTGTGAAGAGTCCAGAGCAAAGTGTCCAGGTCAGCAGATGGCTCAGAGTACACAGCAAGGGAAGGGGCTGTACGCTTCCCCCTGCAGTCTCCTGATGATGTCACACCCTCTCAGGATACAGGGCAGCACAGAGTTGGGGCAGAGAGCCATGTACCCTGAGCCCAAAGGTTCAGCTGCAGACCATGCTTCCACTACTTAGGAGCTTTAGGCAGGTTTCTCAAGCTCTCTGTGCCTGTTTCCTCATCTGTGGACTGGGAAAAGCGCTTCCTTAGGGCCTGCTGTGGGAGAGGAGCAGTGACCATAAGAGGCCCTACCAAAGGCTGGGTTCCCAAGACAGTTTGGCAAATGGCATGATGCCTTTTCCAGACTATGAACACCACGTACAGGTAGGAACTGAGTCCGACTTCCAGTATCAACCAAAGTCCTGGTTCCTGTACCCACAGCCAACACGGAAGGCATGGGAGTCAAGGGGACAGATGTGGCGCCTAGCCCTAAAGTGTCTACAGTCAAGGCCCAAGGAAGGCCACAGGCCTACACCCAGACTAGCTCTCAAAGGACTCCCTCTGGCAGGCAGGGAAGGAAACCTTCCTTGAGGTGGATCCTCCAGAGAGACCACAGGGCCCAACAGCATCGTTTCCTCTTGCCAAGCAGCCCCTGTAATGCTTTCCTGAGGAGGACCATAAGCTGTGTGAGCAAGCGCCTGGACACTAGGCAAGGCCTGGCCACCACCAGCTGACTGAGCTGCTCAGACCACTTCACTCAGCTGTCAGCTCAGGACTGCCTAGGTACACAGGCCAGCGGCCAATGTGCTGCTTCACCCAAAGGATCATTAGTGAGACAATAATGGACTTCATCGGTTCTCAGAGAGAGGAGACGAGATGACAATCTACTTAAGACAGGACTTGATTGGTCAAATCCGGCTCCCTGACCATCTGGAAAAATCCATCCCCTTCCTAGGAAAACACAGGCTCACACAGAACAGATCCAAACACCCAGCAACAGCATTACACCAGAGTCCTCTACATAGGCCAGAAACAGAACAGAGAGGTTGACACGTGACCAGGAAGAGGGAGTAACTCTGCTGTCACCCTGCCACACTCTCAATATGGTTCCAGACTTGGTCTTTAGGAAAGCCCCTGTGTATCCTGAATACCTACCACAAGCCGTGTAGTAGGCCCCAAGACACATCAGTGACCATGGGACCCATAGTCTAGAGGGAAGTGATGGTGTCTCCAACTCCTGCCCTGGACTGTTGGATATCTAGAACTTTCTGCGCCGTTCTAGATACCATATCTCAAGTTACAGTATGCCATCAGGAAAGGAGGCTGAGGGTTAAGAACAAGCAGGACTGTACTGGAAGCTTGTCCACACTCCAGACAGAAGCCATAGAGTCTCAGATCACATGAGGACTTCAGCTTAATAGAATGAACATGCCTTTCTCCCTCCCTGTTCTGTTTTTCTTTTTCTTTCTTTCTTTTTTTAAGATTTATTTATTACAGTGTTCTGCCTACATGTCAGAAGAGGGCACCAGACTGAATTGTAGATGGTTGTGAGCCACCATGTGGTTGCTGGGAATTGAACTCAGGACCTCTGGAAGAGCAGTCAGTGCTCTTAACCTCTGAGCCATCTCTCCAGCCCTCCCTCCCTGTTTTTCAAGATGGGGGCTCATCAGGTAGCTGAGGCTGGCCCCGAACTGGCAGAGATCCTCTGGCCCCTGCCTCCTGAGTGCTGGGACTAAAGGTACACCATTAGAAAGGATGTCTCTAATAAGCACCATCAGCAGAGAACGAGCTGTGAGCCCCTGGCTGGCCATTAGATATAGGCATCAGAAGCCGGCACCCTCAGCTGAGACCGGGTCCCTTCCAACCCTTGGTGGCAACTTCTCTAGCCAGTAACTACCCGGACAGGAGGTTACAAGCTAAGTCATTACAGCCCACCCAGCCTCTCAGCTGTCGGCCCCACGAACAAGCATCTACAACACAGCCTGGGAGATCAGGACATCAGTGAGAACCTGCTCAGAAGTGTCCTTCAGTTGTCCCTGAAGCTGTGCCCTGGGCCAGGAGTACACTGTTCAATGTATACTCCCTGACTACCACCTATTTAATGCTGGGAACCGTAGAGAACTAACGGTCCTGAGTGCGTCTGGCTGCTCTGAGCTGTCTCCTCCATCAAACTCGAGGACCTGCAGCTGTCTCTGCCTCTGCTACATGGAAACTCTGAGCTGATTTGGAAAGCCCAAGGTATTTGGGGGCATTCCAGATAAGTGAGGATATGTCTAGAAACTGAATTTGCCTGCTCTGAACAGAGTCCTTTCTGCTTGGTACACTGAGACTCAGAACATTCCCACATTTCTGGGGCATGTGAAATCCTAGGCGAACCAACTCTGGCGGACAGGGGCCTGCCCCTAAGTAAATATTCCCAATAATACAATGCTCCAAAGCCCTCCTCCTGTGTGAATTCACCCTTGAATCAATCCCGCTTGTCCCTGCTTCTGGCAGCCTACATGCTGCTCCTGACCCCTCCCATTGGTTCTCTCCTCCCACACTTCTTGTTGGTGAGCTGTGGCCAGTGGCACCACTACCTGTCAGGGTGTCCGACTGACAGCAGACTGGCCAACAACTCCTTGTTTTTCTTAAATTCCCATCCATTTATTTACTTGTGTACGTGTGTGAACACGTGTGCCACAGCATGGATGTGGACATCAGAGGACAAGCTGCAGCAGGAGCCAATTCTCTCCATCATCATATGGACCCTGGAGAGAGAACCGGGTCATCAGCCTTGGTGGCGAGCATCTTTACTGGATGAGCTGTCTCCCTGGCCTAGCCTATGGCTCTTTGTTCATTCACTCTATCCTCTCTGTCCAAAAACGATGGCTCCTTTTGGGCCACATGTCAAGATTCAATGTATCTAAAATGTGAACTCTGGGGCCAGATGTGACATCGTACAGCTGTGAAGCCAGCACAAGGAAGGCTGGGGCAAGAGGATCATGAATTTGAGGTCAGCCTGGGCTACACTTCTAGACCGTATCTCAAAAACAAAAACCTGAACTCTGAAATGGGGAGAAGCCACTGCATTCCTCCTATGCATGCAAACTCTTTCTAGCAGAGAGTTCACACTTCCTGGGGATCTAACAGAGAATTTATACTTCTCTGGAGGGATCTAGCAGAGAGTTCACACTTCCTGGGGATCTAGCAGAGAGTTCACACTTCTCTCTGGGACAACAGGGTCTTCTTCCTCTCTTTCACTGACCAGCATAGAGCCAAGCAGGAGTCTGGTGTTTCACGCTATCAGGTCATTCTGGGCAGGTTTTACAGCTGCCTGCAGTTCTGTTTCCACACTGTATAATGGCTGTGTGATACATACTCCACCTGGTAACTAGGAGGTAAGAGCGTGCTGAGGATGATGAAGGACCTGGGGCCACTATGAATGCCACATAAACACAAACACACAACATACTGTAGGGAGCAGAGAGGAAGCTGCATCTCCAGTTCCTGCAGGGAGGTGCCCAGGACCTCACCCCAAACCCAATCAGACATCAACTGTCTCTCACCCCAGCCCTCATGATGAGTGCTGTATGGAGCTGGGGCATCCTGGGAAAGGCACCCATCATCTGTGAGGGTTGGCCCTTGCCTCAGAGAATGGAAGCCCTGCCATCTACATGAGTGCAACACACAATGCCCCCTCTCTTCCCTTTAAAATGTAATCAAACAATTGGGACTGACCTCATATGAGAAGCAAATTATCAAGAACATAAAGAATGCCACTGGACCACTGTTGGGAGACAGCAGCAGCAGCTCTGGGTGATGCCCCAGGCTGGCAGTCCTGGAGTAGGGAAGGTGCCAACAAGGACCCCAAAGACCAGGTGGATGATTCCCATAATCCAATGCTTCAGAGGCTAAGGCAGGAAGATCTCTGCAAGTTCAAAGCTAGCCTAGACTACACAGGGGACTTCAGAGCTAAGTGTGGTGACATAGACACCGTAATCATAGCAGAGGTAGGAGGAGTGAGTTCTAGGTCAACCAGGGCTATGAAGCAAAATCTCAAAAGAAAAAAAAAAAAGGAACAGAGCCCAGAAGCCCCCAGTTCCTGTTGTGCAGCTCTGAGGCTGGGGATGTGCAAATGGGAAAAGCAGCCAAAGACTCCATGCAGAACTTTGGACTGTGAATACCTAAAGGTCAGAACTTGGCCCGGCTGAGGGCGGTAACGATATCTGCAGAAAATGCAACATCCCCACAGCCCTCTTCCCTGTACCTGTCTGTATCTTCTGAGCAGAAGCTAGGAATAGTATTTTGTGCAGAATCACATTGTGCCTGCATTATGTCTGTATAAACACAACAAGGAAGACCGTCTATGCTCAACTAGGAGGCCCAGTCAGTTATCAGGAGCCCAGTCTTAAATAGGAAAAAAATCTGAAGACATTAGATATTTGAGGATGGTTCCTAATACAAAGGTCAAAACCCAAATGAGGGGCAGAGAGATGGCTCAGTGGGTGAGAGCACTGTTGTACAAGCAAAGAGACCTGAGTTCAAATTCCCACCAAAGCCAAGCATGGTCTTGTGATAACATCACACTCATGTGTACACACCTGTAACTCCAAAGCTGGTGAGGGGGTGGAGGATGTTCCGGGGCATAGCCCGAAGATTGTGAGGTTTTCTGGCTATAGTCTAGCTCCAGGTTCAGAGAAAGACCCTGACTAAAGGAATAAGGCAGAAAGTGATAGACAGGACACCAGACAGCCTCCTCCGGCCTCTGCACCTGCACACATACATGCATACAGCACACATGTGTACACATGCACACATGCATACAGCACACATGTACACACATGCATACAGCACACATGTACACACACCACATACATGCATACAGCACACATGTACACACAACACACATGCATACAGCACACATGTACACACACCACATACATGCATACAGCACACATGTACACACACCACACACACATGCATACAGCACAATGTACACACACACACACACACACACACAGACGCACGCACGTGCAAATCAAACAGATGCAAAGAACTCAAGAGGCGGAGCTGATGCAGAAGAAAATCGTAATTAGTTTCCCCAGAGAAAAAGATACCTTCCAGCACCAAGGGCCTTGAAAAGAACAAAGAAGAACCACTGACACATTACAATGAGATAAATGAAGTAAACAGGGAAAGCTCACAGGTGACAAAGTGAAAACAAGCATCAGACAGCTCCTGGAGAGCAACAGAAAGAGCGAGAAATTGAAAAGACAAGCCTTGTTCCAGGAGCATACCCCATGGCAGGAACCCCAGAGAGAGAGAGAGAGAGAGAGAGAGAGAGAGAGAGAGAGAGAGAGGGAGGGAGGGAGGGAGGGAGGGAGGGAGGGAGGGAGGGAGGGAGGGAGGGAGGGAGGGAAAATGGATGCTTCCGAGGCAGATAGCTACTGAACCAAAGATACCCTCCTGGGGTGAACATCCTTCAGCCCACAGGGATCTCCAATCCCTTATGCTGAGCATGTGACAAGGCCATGCTTCAGCCCCAGACTCAGGACTGCTAACCCCATCAAGGCCTTGGTTTGTGACTCCTAATTGTACAAACTTCCAACCAAATGGATGCTTCAATCCACAGCTAAGAGGAGTGTTCATGCTTGAGAAAGTTATGAAGGCCCTGGAACTAGGCCTCTGGATGAATAGGGACCTGAACACAAAGATTAGGTAGGCTGTGGTTAGAACTGGGGTGGTTCTAGCTAGCTTTAACTCTGTTATGTGCTTTATATTCAGACAAGTTAAGAAAAACCTGGATAGCATTGGAACCCAACCTTGCTAAGCCCTTACGTGAATATTTCTTTCCAGGTTGCTAACTAAATAATAAAATCATTTTTAAAAGAAAAGGGGACGTATCAAAGACACAAGAAAAAGTCTCAAGCCTGAGTTGGGGAGTTCAAGTCTGCCAGATTTCCCAGCAGTGACTATTTGCTCTATCTTCTGTGAGATTTCAGACTTGGGGGTTGAAAACAAGATCTAAAAAACCAGGAAGAATATGCAAATGGATAGGCGGGATCAGAACCCACCAGACTTCCTAAAAGCAGCAGGAGCTGAAGGTGAAAAGTATGGCCCCTTCCCAGGGATGCAAATCACAGAGCAGTCCAGTAAAGACCCTTCGCACTGCTATTTCAGGAGGCTGGTGGAAGATGGCCCGGACCAACAGAGACAAGAAACCACAACAAAGGAGAACCTGGGACGGACGGGGGCTCACACAGCACAGGGAAGCCCACACAAGTCCAAGAATGATGGCTAATGACAGAGCCTGGTGACAGCTGAGCAGAGCCAGCACCACAGGCCCCAGAGAAATGTGGTCAAAGCAAAAGGCAGTGGTGGCCACAGTCACACAGTGTCGCCTCATTTAAAAGCCCAGTTACAGCATTCAAGAATGAATGATGAGCACAGAAAACTGAACCACTCCAAAATTAAGACAAATAGTACCTATGGAAAACCCAGACTTCTACATGTAAAGGACAGGGAGGACCAGCCTCCCTGCCCTGCTTCGAACAATATTTAACATATAAAATGCAAACACTAAATGCACACCTAGAAAAAATTGCAGTCCAGCGTCCCCAGTAAGGTGAAGAAAAGAGAAGTGTTTATGAGAACGTGTGTGCATGCATGCATGTACGCTTTTTTAGTTTTGTCACAGAAACAAAAGATACCTGAAAAGAGGTATAGAAGGGACAGGCAAGAGTGAGGGCCAAGGCTGCTGACTCAAGACACTAAAAACCAGTGACCTCAGGCAATGCTAACTCCAGGTGCTCTGTGCTGTTTGTAAACTCCCCGGGAGATGAGGCCAGAGACAATAGCGTTGCTAGGAGGCGAACTTCCAGAGTGGCAGACAGGCTGGGAGGCTGGTTGGGGCTGGTGGGAGGAGCAATGAGGCTTCTGAAGTGGGGGTGCTACCCACTATCTGCAGCTACTCTGTGGTGTTGAGTAAGGACAGGTTGGTAGCTCCCCCATGTCCTCACTATGTTCTACATGTCCCCTCTTCAGGGCCCACCCAAGGAGAAAGCCTACATTTGCCCCTAGACTACACAGGACACACAGATACAAACACACACGAAGGCACACACACAGTAAAGAACAACCTTTTGCTTCTAAAGGAACCAGGTGAGCAGAAGTTGTTCCACTTGGGGCTGGCACCTGCTGGGAGAAGGGTGCTCAGCTCCTCCCTTCCCCAGGCAGAGGTTTCCCTGGGGACTTTCTGCTTTCAGGAACATCAGGCACAGAGCACTGGGCAGGTCCCCATCTGCCTCTATGGTCTCTCCTGGAAGGGATTTACATTTACAGGAGCACCACCAGCCAGGAGGAAGGTGCCTGGGAACCAGTGCAGGCCTACAGAGGGGCTGGGTAGAGCTCACAATATGAACGACTCAAGTTCCTTTATTCAAAAATTACGGGGTGCAGCTTAAAGAAGGAGCACACACCTGGTATTGTGAGCCCCCATTCCTCCTACACAAACACACAAATGGATTGGCCTGGGGGTATATTTTAGTTGGTAGAGTGCTTGTCTAGCATCTAGAAAGCCCTGGGTTCCATGCCCAGCACCACATAAACCAGGTATGGCAGCATACACTTGTAACCCCAGCACTCGGGAGGCAGAGACAGGAGGATCTCTGAGTTCAAGGGCAGCCTCGTCTACAGATCAAGTTCCAGGACAGCCAAGGCTAACACTGAGAAACCCTCTCAAAAGAAAAAAGGGGGGAAAAAAAAGAGTTTGGGGCTGGTGCTGGAGCGAAGGATCAGGGGTTAAGGGCACTAGCTGCTCTTCCAGAAGTCCACCTGGTTTGATTACCAACACCTCCTGGACTCCTGAGGCACTGCACATACACAGTACACAGACCTAAATGCAGGCAAATACTCATACACACAAAAGATGGACAAACAGAGAATATAAGGTGCACACCTTTAGTCCCAGTACTCAAAAGGCAGAAACAGGCAGACCTCTGTGAGTTGAAGGCCAGCCTGAGCTGTAAAATGACACCACCCCCAAAGAAGTTTCAGGCCAGCCAAGGCTGCATGAGGTCCTGTCTCAAAGAGGAGAAAAGGCATGAACTGCTGTTGTGTCTGGCTGTGTTCTCTCACTGAGAGAAGCCTCCTCTCAGGGCAGCACCCACTGAAGATGCCGACAGCCCCCTGCAACTACGCATGGGCAGGAAGGATGTGACACTGGGGAGCAGGCAGGATGAGGGCAGGGCCCACGCCAGCTCCCAGCTGGGGTGGAAGAGAGATGAGGGCCGACTTGGTGGGAGGAGCTAAGGAACCAAGGCCCATGAGAGGGTAGCAGCCCTTTCCTGAGACACAACAGCACCACATGGGGACACACGGGGCCCACAGGCCCAGCTGTGTAAGAACTCCTACCTACCTACACACACACACACACACACACACACACACACACACACACACACACACACACACACACACACACACACACACACACGCCTGGGGTTTCTAGCCATTGATGGACCCCCAGCTCCCCAGCTCTCCCTCCAGACCCCCTCCACGCCGCTCCTCACCCTCGTAGCAGTCTCGGATGGTGCCAAAGTACACGTAGTACTGGTCATTGGTGAAGAAGAGGAGGCTGAGCCAGGAGTCGAAGGAGTAGATGGGCACGATGAACAGGATGCGCACGATGTGGCGCTGCTCGTTGGGGCGTGTGTAGCAGCGCAGATGCATGTAGATCTGGGGAAGGCACCAGGTCATCAGGACACACCAGGAGCACGCCTGAGGCCCGCCTGCCGATCTGCCCTCTTCCTCCTGCTCCATGCCAACAGGGCAGCTCCTGACTCCTGTCTCTGCCCTCCCTGATGCAGAGCATCCACCCTGCATCAGTCCTGCTCCGTAAGATTAGCCGATAAAACCTTCGTCATGAGAGTCCAGCCAAAGGGAGCACATGAAGCTGGCGTACGTGAGCAGCAGCTGCAGACACCTTTCTAAGTGGGGCAGCAGGAGCTGCTGAAGTCGTGGTCCTCAGTGTGTGCTGCCCGTGCTGCCTTGTCAAAGCCACGCTCTCAGGGCCGCACAGCAACAGCGCTGAGTTAACGGAAGGGCTGATCAAGGGCAGACCGAGGCCATCTGGCTGTGGCCCCTCTGCCTTGAACCTTAGCAGACACAAGAAGGGGTGGGACACATGGGAGCCTCACTCTAGAGACATGGGTACACTTCTAGGCCACACTACGCCTTGGTCCTCAATCTGCTGAACCAAGGCAGCAGTGCAATGTTCCTGGGGGGGGGGGGCAGAGGGAGCAGCGCAACTCTGAGAAAGCAGAGCCAAGCCAGCCCCAGTGCCCGGTCCCAGCTCTCATGACATCAACTCTCCATCCACCCCAGGCCTGGCTGAGGAAAAACACAAAATATTCCCATCTGCTGTAAGCCAATCTCTTTTTATTTGTTTGGTTTTTTTTGTTTGTTTGTTTGTTTTTGGAGACAGGGTTTCTCTGTATTGTTTTGGAGGCTGCCCTAGAACTCACTTTGTAGACCAGGCTGGCCTCAAACTCACAGAGATCCACCTGCCTCTGCCTCCCGAGCGCTGGGATTAAAGGCGTGCGCCACCAACGCCAGCCTAAGCCAATCTCTTGAACCCTGATAGATCTAAAGGAGACTCAGGCACACAGCAGCTGGTGAGGGACTGCCAGGGCCCCGAGCAGATTCACCCGGCCTACACGGGGCACTCATGAAGCCTCCTGCTTGAGCACCCAGACTCCCCTGAGACCATGGGTACAGAGGACACGAAGCCTGACTGAGCTGCCACCTACACAGGTGCAACCAGCTCCTCTGCCACCTTCTCAGGCTCTCGAGTCTCTCCTTGCAAAGACAGCTCTGACATGTACAGTCCTGTGGCTTCAGCTAGACATGGGCATGGCCAAAGGCCACTAATCACAAGTAACTGTCACTTGTAGTTCAAGGCAGACAAGCATCTGTACGTCTCCTCGCATTCCTGATGTTGGTAGAGGAGTACAGATGACGCCAGAGCCACAGCTTGCCCTTGGCTGAGCTGGGATGGAGGAGAAATCATCTAGGAGGCTGAGTGTGCCCACCGCTTCAGCCTGGCTTCCCTGGAGTGTGTGCTTCACTGAACTAGAAACTACTGGGACACTTATGAAGGCTCCCCCTTCACACCCAGGTACCTGGTGGCAGGTGATGAGTAGAGCTGTCCACACAAAGAAGCCGGAGATGGCCTGGGCAGCGGTGGTCATCAGGAACACGGGGTGCTCCATAGCTGTGGGACTGCCCTCGGGGGCTGCAGAGACATCTGGTGAAGTTGCTGCGGTTGTGGGCGATGCTGGGTCTGGGGCCAGCGCAGCCCCCCTCACTGTCATGGTGCCCAGCAGCAGGCTCCCTGAGAGAATCTGAGTGATGGGCTGGCCTAGGGAGGAAATCTGGGTGAGTGCCAGTGTTGGAAACACCTTTCGAGGTTGACATCACTCTGCCCCAGCCACGTCCCTGTTCTGCCCTTGTCCTGCACGTCTAGGCCAATACACAACATACGCAAAGGCCTTGTGACATTGAGACCTCAGTCAGACAAGGACCTTTGTCTGACAAAAGTCCCTAACAGCTCCCTAGGATGTTAGGAGGAAATGCAGCGGTACAGAAGAGCTCCACTCCACAACCCTCAAGAGCAGCTTGACCCACCTGCTACCCGGCAGTCTGCTGTACAGCTGCTGTAAGCTGGGGCCTTCATATGGCACACAACTGCCTCACAGCTCCTCTTGTCGCTCCCCTTCAGAGGCCAGGTCTCGCTGCGAATAGCCCAGGCAAGCCCTGAGCTCACACTCCCCCCTGCCCAGGACTTCACACGTGAGGCAGGTACTCTACCACTGATCCACACAGCAGCTCCCTGCCTATCCTCTTCCCCAACAGACACTCCAGTCCATTCATGGTCTACCCTCCTGCCTGCTCAGCGGCAGTACCCCATTCCTGTCTTTGAATCCCCAGCACCAAGCCCAGCACCCAGGCTGTTTACAATGCCCAATCAGCTTCAGTAGTGGCTTTCAATCCATATTTCAAAGAGAATGTGAGTTAGGTGCCCCACAAACAAGGAAAAGGCAGAACAGAGGAAATGGTCATCAAGGAAATTTCCAGCAGGAAAAAGAAGCTGAGGGTGGACGGCAGCTCTGTGGAAACAACGCCTTCCTCGACAGAGAGTTGGAGTCCCATTTGATGTGGAGAAGTAACCCCATGTGGCCCGGAGAACTGTCAGGAGCCCAAGCTGTTCACCAATGGAAACCACGGCTGGGCCAGAGACCAAGGCCACTTTCCAAGCGCAAATCCTTCGAGGATCATCCAGACTATGCTCTTAGGAGTTTGAAGCTCCAGACTATTGCAAGGTGACAGCATTAGGAGGCTTGGGTGCTTAGGTCAGGAGGATGAAGCCCTCACAAATGGGATCAGTGCCCTTGTGTGAGGCCCCTTGCCTTTCTGCAACTTGAAGAGTTGCCTGCCTATGAACTAGAAATGGGCCCCACTGGACAGTGCAGTCAGTGCCTGGGTTTCAACCGCCCAGGCCAGTTTCCAGCATTGTTAGAGCAGCTGGAGAGGAGGTGCCTAAATGCCCCTTTACCCTGGCTCAGAGCCCCATGAGCCTCATCCTCTGTAGTGCTGCCACCTACTGACAAGAGGCAATGCCATCCGCCATCTGGTGACCTGGAAGGCCAACTGCCCAAACCAAGGGCTCTGGCCACGATTCGCCGTGCACACACAGAAGAGAAGGACAAATGGGGAGACGGTGAGGACCACAGACACTGGGCAAGAGCCTGCCTGAAGCTTGCGTCCCCAGCTTCATCGTCAGCCCAGGTGACAAACCTCACAGTCCCTTCACGTCCAGGCCAAAATGTAGTGACACCTTTGGAAGACTCTCCCGAGGCTTCGTGGGTGCAAATGGCTCACACCTGCCCTGTGATCTAGACACACCTTTCCTGCTGCCCACCCTCACCTCCTGCCTGGCTCCCTCAAACGCCTGTGTCCACATCTGCCTGTCAGCTCCTGCACACACCGGGAGCCAGCAGAGTCCCTTACTCTGCTCGTTTTCTCTCACATAAACAATCCCTAACCACCGACTAAAAGACAGAGTCAAGATTCAAAAACGGAGAAGGCACCTAAACTGGGAAACTCAGAAACGGAGAAGGTGTCTATATATAAAGACTGGTGGCAAGTTCTGGGAAAAAAAGACACTGTGGCAACCTAATAATAGCTACTGTAGGCACGGCTGCCAAGTTGAAAGCTCGTGCCTGAGACTTTTCTTTAGAAGGGTTTGCAATGTAAATCAAAGTCTCTGCCTGTCACTCCACATTGAAAGAATAAACGTGGGGGTGGGTAAAACAAGAACAATACCCCTAAATTGCCACCAAGTTCCCCAAATACTATCTGATGTTTGTTTACTTTTCTCTCATGGCAACTTTAAAGTGACATTATCTACATCTTGGAAATAGAAAAAAGATGTGGAACGCCCCTCCCAAACGATTTGAAGGCTTCTAGAACATTCTCTTAGGCAACAGTTAAAGCAATGCCCCCACTCATAAACATTTAGCCTCAGGTCCCTTTGAAAGCCACGTGTAGCAGCTCCTCCATCCACACCCAAGACCCACAAGGAGGCTGCCGACATCTGCAGTCCAGTCTACAACACACTAAGCTCGCAAACTTCCCAGTGTTACAGAGGGTAAGGAGAGAGGAGACCGCGGCTCCCACTCTTCACAGTGCGTATGGAGAGGAGGGAGGAGACCCGGGTCCCACTCTTCACAGTGTATGGAGAGGATAGACACTGGGTCCACTCTTCACGGTGCATATGGAGAGGATAGACACTGGGTCCCACTCTTCACAGTGTGTATAGAGAGGATAGACACTGGGTCCCGCTGTGCCTTTCCTAGGACACACAGATGTCTTCCTGGGAAGGAGCACTTGCACCCCTGAGCCTTGGAGAAACAAGACTGAGTGTGGCTGCAGCAACTGCAGCTGGTACAATCCCCTCCAATCCTCGTGGTCTCTTTGGTTCCCCTTTACATATAGTCCATGCCCCTCAAGGTGGGAGGAGACATACAAGACAAGGTGCAAAATTCCAACTGCTCTAACAGGTTGCCTTCTTTCTTTTTCTTTTCTTTTTTTTGGGGGGGGGGTGGTATTCATCTATGTGGTTTTTTGTTTTGTTTTGGTTTGGTTTGGTTTTGGTTTTACGAGACAGGGTTTCTCTGTTTTGGAGGCTGTCAGTCCAGCCTGGCCTCAAACTCACAGAGATCCACCTGCCTCTGCCTCCCGAGTGCTGGGATTAAAGGCATGCACCACCACCGCCCGGCCATCTATGTGTTTTTTAAGACATGGTTTCTCTGTGGGGCCCTGGCTGTTCTGGAACTCACACTATAGGCCAGGCTGGTCTTGAGCTCAGAAATTCACCTGCCTCTGAGATCAAAGGCACGTGCCACCACATCCAGCTAAATATATCTCTTCTTAATAAACTCCAACTCTCTGGTTAAAAAAGGGAAGAAAAGAGCCAGGCGTTGGTGGTGCACGCCTTTAATCCCAGCACTTGTGAGGCAGAGGCAGGCAGGTCTCAATGACTTTGAGGCCAGCTTGGTCTACAGAGTGAGTTCCAGGACAGCCAAGGCTGCTACACAGAGAAACCTGTCACAAACAAACAAACAAAGCCTAAGAATAGCCCAAATGTCTGTCAATAGGTGGAGACTGAAAAAAATCACTACATCCAGACCTCAGAAAAAGTGTGTCTGGTGGTGGTGGTGGTGGTGGCAGCGGCGGCAGTGGTGGCGGCACAAGCCTTTAATCCCAGCTCTCTGAGTTCAAGGCCAGCCTGGTCTACAAACTGAGTTCCAGGATAGACAGGGCCACACAAGACAGGCTAAATCCTGTCTAGAAAAATAAAAACCCTAACACTGGACACAGAAGCCCTCTTTGTTGGCCAGGGCTATTCCAGAGACAGAGGCTCCTAAAACATTCAGCCTCTGACTACTGCCCCTGGTTGCCCCCAGAGGTGGAAGTTAAGCTTCTATTACACTTCAGACACAGGCCTCAAGGCCCCGAGCTGGAACTAACCTGATGCTTCCTAGAGGACCAGCTTCCATGGCACATAAAGCCACTACAAAAGCTTACAAGGCGGGGAAGCAACCAGCAGTCCTGCCCAACTCTGACACCATGGGCTACCACAACAACCGGCACGGCACCATAACCCAAGGTTGCAGTAGAGGCCCAAACGCTGTGGCAGTAAAACAGCATTCTCAATGAACTTAAGAGCTGCTTAAAAAGAGAGAAATCACACCTGGTATTGGAAACCCAGTCAAGAGAAAGAATCTAAAAGGAAAAGTATCAATACACACAGCACTGGGTCGCCTGGAGGGCATTATGCTTAGTCAAAGTAGCCAATTTCAAGTCAGAAACTGTCTGAGTCCATTTATAAAACTTTCCAATGTGACAAAGCTATCAAGCCAGAGCTCAGATGAGCAGGAAGCAGAGGCCAGGGACAATGACAAGGGTGCTGTGCAGGTAGGTTCCTTCCAGCGATGAGACAGTTGGTGTCTTGACAATGGCGATGGGTCCACAAATCCATGAGACAAACCACTCAGCACTACAGGCAGACACACACACTCTCACAGGTGACAATATAGAACCAAGGATGTCTCACAGCCTGGTTCCCATCACACTGCCCTCTGTGAATCACTTCCATAACTGCTTTGATGTAGCTACGGCCAACAAGGACATCCCACCAACAGAAGGAACACTGCACCTTTTATACCCAGTCTGTAACTTCCTGTGAGTCTCCATTTGTTTCAAATAGAGCACTGGTTTTTTGTTTTTAGATTTTTTTAAATTTTACTTCATGTGCATGAGTATTTTGCCTGCATATATGTAATGTCACCGCACATGTGTGTCTGGTGCCCTCAGAAGCCACAAGATGGAACAACACAGGAAGTAGAGTTACAGATGTTGTAGGCCTCTGTGTGGGTGCTGGGAACTGACCTGGGTCTTCTTCAGGAGAAACAAGTGTTCTTAACTGCTGAGCCACTTTTCTAGCCCCAAAATAGATTTTAAAGTCTCCAGCATGTAGATGCATATTGGCATAATAAACGGGTAAAGAAATAGCATGGTACCATATTCCACACCCATCCCCGCTGCCCAGGGTCAGCCTTAAATTCTGTGTCCTGTGTTGGAGGGGTCTGTCCTCTGGCCTGGGGTGAAGCTTGGCTGGTAGAGTGCTTGCCTAGCATGCCTGAAGCCCTGGGTTCAGCCCCCAGCACTGCACAGAAACGGATGGCAGTACACGCTGGCAATCCAGCACCTGGGAGAGGGGAGAGGGAGCACAGTCCAACACCGTCCCCTGCTACTTATACTTAGCAAGTTCAAGGCCAGATTGAGTTACATGAGACT